CCAAAGAACTAGTATAACTAGAGGGAGTTACAATAAATGGGGCATGAACAGAAAAGATCTTAAAGACAAATCTCCAAATGACTGTTCTCAAAGCCAATAGGAAACAAGAGCAAAGTCCACTCCTTCATAGGGTCCCCTCAGGAGAACACCCCAGTTCCCAGCCAGATCTTTGTCCTCAGATGGACCACATCCTCTTGGAGAGTGTATTGTTCTTCAAGTGTCAAAGTGCAAAAAATCATCACCCTTTAGGGAAATCCTGCTCCCTACTCTTTGGGGTTTCTCTGTTCTTAAGATTTGCCCCCTCCATCCCTGGGATAAGCTGGGAACACAGAAATCCCATCAGATGATTTTGCAAAGTCTGAATTGTACAGTTCAGTCTTGAATTCAACAGGATCATTCAGGACAGGCTTTTACTGTCTCTCTTCACGGTCTCTTAGCTGAAAGGAGGTGCACATAGCCCTCCTCAGCCTTCTGAACAATTCTATGAATAGCTATTAGGAACTGGGACACACTCACACATTAGCAATACATAAACACACCATGCAATCTAAATTCATGTAGAGGAAACGAAACATTTCTAATTACAACATGGCCCACTGAGATGCTCTTGCTGGTAGTGGAGGCAGAACACTATACTATTATGCAGACTTTAGTCAGTCTCCCTAAATTCCTCCTACACCTTCATGGTGTAGAAAAAAAGTGGATCCACATGGCCATCTACTGCTTAAAAGCCACCCACTTGCCTACTTAAACTATCTTGCCAGAGCTAAAAAATTGAAGTGCTTTGTTACAGTTTTTACCTTTGGGTATATGTTAGTGTGCTAGGACTGCTATAACAAAGCACCATAAAGTACCATAGACTGAGTGGTTTAACAATAGAAATTTTTCTCACAATTCTGGAGGCCAGAAGTCTGAGATCAAAGTGTCAGCAGGACTTGTTTCTTATGAGGCCTCTCTCCCTGGCTTGTAGACAGCTGTCTTCTCTCTGTGTCTTCACATCACCTCCCCCACCCCTCCAGGTGTGTATCTGTCCTCATCTCTTCTTAAGAGGACACCAGCCATATTAGATCTGGACCCACTCACCCTAACCTCATTTTAATTTAATTGCTTCTTTTTTTCTTAATTACTTCTTTAAAGACACTATTTGCCAATATGGCCACATATTGGGGTTTTGGAGGTTAGGACTTCAACATATGAATTCTGGGGAAGGGACACAATTCAGTGCATAACAGGACAAGATTAAACTCTTGACCCAGGTGTTTTTCAGCGTGTTGTAAAATCTTTGGAGTGTGAAGAGAGGCAGCAGGAGGCGCTGTTATCCTCCAGCCCTAGTGACCCCCAGGGGCACAGAAGGCTTGGAAAGGAAGCAGAATTAGAAAGGAGATGTGTACCCAAACAGCTGATTCATCCTACACAGTGCTGAAGGACTAACCCTGTTCTCACCCACAACATCACTGACAGCCCATTCTTCAAGAAGGTCAGAGGATTCCCTACACCTCTAACATCAATTTAAACTGGATAATGAGTTTTCCTCTCTCTTCGATGAAACAATGCTTTAAATACTATGACTCATTAATGAAAGGTCATGAATAGAAGCTATTGTGATAAGGCTTTGGAATCAAGGGGCCTGGTGGGTACCCAGGGTTAGGAACTGTATGCCTAGCAGCAATTTACTCACATCATTCTGCGGAGGCTTTTTAAGCACCAATCAAAGGACAGACCTCGTGCTAAGTTTGAGAGACGCAAAAATGAGAAAGATAAAATTCCTCTCTCCAGGATTCTAGTAGAGGCTGACAGAAAAGTAAATGAATAATTACCACACAGAATATAAAATGCAGGTTCCTGTGGGGATTCACAGGCCAGGAGAGGGGAAGTCAGGGAAACATGCTCAGAGGAGGTAGTATTATTGTCTGAGTCCTAAATGATAAGGAGAAGGTAACTAGATGAAAGGAGCTGGTTAGGGAGGGGAGTGTTCCAGGTGAAGGTGAAGTAACCATCTATAACATGGAGCCAGCAACTCCTGACTCAGAGGGCTGTTGTGAGACTTACTGGTGAAAAGGTACTTGTCTAAAGTGCCCAGCCCAGCCCATCACAAGTGCTGAACAAAGGAGTTCTGGAGGCCCATCCTGACCTCTCAACCCTGGTATTCCCTCCCCTAGTTTCCTCATTGTGGCAAGGAGGCTGAGCTGTGGCTGTAGCAAGTCTCCCCACAATGAGTGTGCATTTAGAGTCTGGCAAACATCCTACTTTCTCCACTCTGTCAAAACTGCCCATGTTTTGTGCATCTTAATTTCAGAAGTTACAAAAAGATACAGCCACCTTCTCAACTTTTCCCCAGAGCACATGGAGTATAAGGGCGTCCGGGGATGCAAATTGAAGCCCATTGGAAAACTTTGAGTATGCTGGTGCATGCACGGAACTATTCTCTGCATGATAATTTCTATCACTGTAATTACACTCTGTCATTAAAAATCACTAATGTTTCATGACAGCCACGATTGGATTTGGGGCTCAGAGGGAAAGGTTGGGGTGTGCTGGTATGGGTGGGGGACACAACACATAAAGGTGTGTGTGCTGGGAAATGGTGTCACCTTTAGGACCATTCACTAGTGAAAAGTCTTCTCATTTGTATACAGAAATAATGAGGCAAAGGAGCAGCTTTAAAAAGTAAAAAAGATAGCAAGGGAAGATAAGCAAAAAAACCAAAGATCACTTAGAGAGCCTCAGTAACTTACCTGTCTGCTTTCCTTTTCCGGGAACACTTTGATCTCTGTCTGCATTGACATGCATTACTTAGTAAAGCTGGAGTCAAAATTGGTTTTCAGTTTATTCCACCTACATTTGACTCCTGTGTAAACAAGAAGCCATCCTGGATTTCTTCAAACTTAAGCTGCATATCGGCCCCCAAAGAACCAGGATTTCTGTTTTCAGTTGACTGTGACTCTGGGGCTAACAGATCAGTGATGGCAGGGAATCAAAAACAGGCTCTTGTCCTTCCACAGAGGGAATCTCTGGGCTGCCTGCTGGCTGGGCCACCCATGGGGCTAAGCTGAGCCTGTCCTTGGTGTCCCTGATGATGCAAAGTAGCCAGAAGGAAGGGAAATATTGGAACAAATCTAGTTCTGTTCTCCCCTTGTCAGAAAAGGATTTTTCCTCTGGCCTCTGAGAAGTTTTGTGTCCTGTGACAGTAAATTAGGTAGAAAATTACTTTTTGACAAACTTGACTGAAGCTGTGAAAGTCATTCTGCCTAAGTCTGTAAAATGATTGGAACAGAGGGTTTAAAAAAAAGTCCTTTTCCTCTTCTTTCCTTTTTAAAAAACAGAGTGCCCTGGGGGAAGGATAGGAGTTCAGGGAGACTGAGTACTTGCCTGAGTTTTATCTGATCTGATGGGTAGTCCCTGTCTTTGTATTCATGCCATTACCTCAGGCCCTCTTGAATTTTCTAGGCATTCTGGATAGTATGTCAAATTTTCAATTGCTCTTCATTGCAAATATATCATGTTTATGGATTAAACAGTCTTCCTTACTAGTCATGAGGACTACAAACATCATGTTGCACCTATGATTTTTTCTGTTATCTATTGCCAGATAAAAAAGCACCCCAAAACGTAGTGTCTTAAAACAACAAATTATTATTTTCTTTAACTTTGTGGGTTGACTGGGTGGTTCTTTGGCCCCACGTAGTGCTGTCTGGGGTCACTCATGCAGCTGCATTCAGCAGGCAGAAGGCCTGGGCTGGCAGATCCAGGAAGGCCTCTCTTGCATGGCTGTGGTCTGGGTGCTGACGTCAGCTGGGGGGCCTCTGCTCTCTTCCACGGAGTCTGTTTGTCCCTATGGGTCTCCACCTCCAGGGCCTCTGCACCTCCCAGGGTAGCCTGGACTTCCTTACAGTGTGGTTGCTGGGTCCCAAGAGTGTGAGCTTAGAGAGCCAGACTTCTTATATGCTTATGGGATAGGCTCAGAGCTGGCAGGGTGTCACTTCCATCACATTCTGTTGGTCAATGCCAGTGAGGAAGCCAGTGCAAATTCAAGGGAAACAGACTCCATCTCTTGGTGGGAAAGTCAACATGCACAGTGAGGATGGCAAGGAATTGTTTGTAGTCATCTTGGAGACATTTACTACATCAGAGAAGTGCATCCTGAACTGTGTAAAAATTCATTCTAGGAAAATGAGGATCAGCAGTATTGCTGAGTGAAGTCTGGATAAACTGATGACAATTAAGAATGATAAAAAGTACAGCTACTATTTATTAAGCACCTCCTTAATATATGCTAAGCATGATGTTAGGTGCATTATTACTATCTTCTAGAAAACAACTCTGAGAGGGTGGTATTGTTATATCCATCTTAGATATGGGTAAACTGAGGCTTAGAGGCCTTGTAATGCAGGGGCTCCCAGCAGCAAGCCCCTTTCCCCAAGCACCCCACCTCTCCAGACTGCCCTGTCTTGGCTCTGTACCAGCCTGGCCACATCAGCCACACCCCTGCCTCCCCTCTCTAGGTGAAGGTCTTTTATGTTTAGACTTCCCAAGCCTGCTTTCTACTCAGTGATAAAACTTACTGAAGGGTTTTTAAAAACTTTTTCTATCAGATATGTTATTGCTTTAAGTTGTCAGCCTTGACTCACCTAGTTCAATCTTTTTCTTTAAAAGGCACTTAGCCAAAAAAAGTCAAGAGAATTTTGAAGAATTTAGAAGGAAACTTGCTATATAGCTATTAAAACATTATAAATCTACATTAATTTTTAAAAAAGATTTTATTTTTATTTATTTTTAGAGGGAGGGGAAGGCAGGAAGAAAGGGAGGGAGAGGAACATCAACGTGTGAGAGAAATGTTGATCAGTTGTCTCTTGCACATGTTCCAACTGGGGACCAGGCCTGCAACCTAGTGCCCTGACTGGGAATCAAACTGGTGACCTTTACCTTTGTAGATGACACTTGACCAACTGAGCCACGTCGGTCAGGGCTAACTCTACATTAATTTTTAAATGTTCTGTTAGTGTCAAAAAGAAGACAAATGGGAAAAAACGAAGAGCCCAGGATTAGTTTCCCATGTAGAAGAATAGTTGTATCAACTGGATGGAGCTTTAATCAATGGAGAAGGAATGGACTCTTCAAAGAATGGTTCCTGACAACCCGCTACTCATACAGAAAGGTATGAGGTTAGATCCCTACTTCACACACACCGCAAAATAATTTCCAGGTGGATTAAAGGCATGCATGTAAACAGGTGAAGAAAATAGGTGACTATATCCAGGACCTTAAATGTAGAAAATGATTTCTTAAATAAGACACTAACATTCGAAAAATACTGAAAACATGATTAATTTAAGTGACATTACAATTTATAATTTCTGTGATATTGAAGGTGCACATACTCTATAAGCCTGCAATTTGGGTTATGGTTAGATCTAGAGAAATTCTCATACACAGGCATGAGAAGAAAAACAGAAGGGCGTTCACTGAAACAGTGGTTTTGATATAAAAAATCAGAAACAGCCTAATCATTTCTCAGTAGGGGAGTAGAGGAAGTAGTTAGTAGTTAAAATGTATAAACTAGATTTATATGTAGCAACACAGATAAATGTCAAAGTCATGATGACTAAAAAAAAGTAAGTACAGAATGATATATAAAGAATGATACCTTTTGGGAAAAATTTTAAATTTATAAAATGACATTGAACATTTTTATATAACTACCTATATATGTAGAAAACCATCAATATATGCACAGAGGATACATACCAACTTTAAAACAATGGGAAGGAGGAAGGAAAATGGGATTATACATAGATGGCTTCATTGTATTTTTATGTTTGTTTCTTAAAAAGAATCTGGATTAAATATAATGAAATATTAACGTGTTAAATCTGGTTAAGGGTATAACATGTACTTTTCTTAAATTGCTTACTATATTTTTCTTATGTTTTAAAAAGTTAAAGGTTTTAGAGCTCCTAAAGAATAATGAGCCCTGGCGGATGTAGTCAGTGGATTGAGTGCAGGCTGTGAACCAAAGGGTTGCTGGTTCAATTCCCGGTCTGGGCATGTGCCTGCATTGAGGGCTGGGTCCCCAGTGGGGGCTACATGAAAGGCAACCACACACTGATGTTTCTCTCCCTCTCTTTCTCCCTGTCTTCCCCTCTCTCTAAAAACAAATAAATAAAATCTTAAAAAAAATAATTGCAAGACTGTGAGGTCCAGGTCACTAGGAAAGATACAATTTGGAGGAGGCAGAGGGCCTTGGAAGTTGGCATTTTTGAAGTACCTGGTAGCCTGTTAGCCTCTCATCCAAGGACTGATTCCTTCAGGCTCAGCTCTGGACCACTGAGTCCCAAGCTGCTCTCCTGTTTTCCCCTGACTTGCTCTCTTAAGTTGCCTTTAGAGATACCCTATGCAAGAGGAAAATGAGTCGAGCCCCTGCTAGACTCCAGTTGTTGAGCCCAGCTACCCAAGCTCATTCCTATTTTTCTTTTCATTCTTAGGCATTGAAAACCAGAGATGAATGATGATGACTTTGTTGAAGAAGGGAAGGAAGACTAGAAGATCTTACTCCTTGAAAAAGCTTTTTTTTTTTTGAGGCTGTGTTATCCAGCTTTTCACACCAAGTCTATAGAGAGAGCAGATGTTTTTATTCCCATGTTACTAATAAAGAAACTGAGTTATTGAAGAGCTTAAAAACTTGTCCAGGGCACCAAAATAATCAATGAAATGGCTGAACTAGAACCTTGTCTGAAGTCCCAGATTAAGAATCTTTATGATACAAAATGGGGCAAAAGAAAGTTTACAGTTGTTCATATGGAAAATAATACAATTATTAATAAATAATCATACAAGAATAAATTGTTTTGCATACTTACAACTATAAACCTATTTTGCCCCACCCTGTATGATGAACTGAGTGTTGTGTGTGGCATTGTAAACCATGGGTCCCCAGGGGAGCAATTAGAGGGCTCCACCACTATAGTGGACTGAATTGTCTCCCAAAAAAGGTATGTTCATGTTCTAACCCTCAGTACCTATGAATGTAACCTTATTTGGAAATAAGATGTTTGAAGGCAAAATAAAATTAAGATGAGATCATACTGGATTAAGGTGGGTCCTACATTCAAGGGTTGTTCACCTAATAAGAAGAGGTGAAGAGGCACAGAAACACACAGGGGAGAAGGACATGTGAAGATGGAGGCAGCAACTGCAGTGATAAAGTTATAGCCAAGGAGCACCAAAGATTGCCGGGAGACAGGTAAGTGGTCCTTCAGAGCTACAGGTATCAGTGGAAAATCAATCAGCCCTAGTGATGTCTGGTTTTGGATTTCTGGCCTCTTGAACTATGGGAGAATGAATTTATACTGTCATAAGCCACTCAGTTTGTGGTAATGTGTGGTGGCTGCCCAAGGAAACTAATAGAAACCCCAGGCTTGGGATGATCCCAGTGGAGGTGATGTGTCAGCTGAAAACTGAAGGGTTAGTATAGGGATGGTGTTGGGAGTGTATTCAGCTGCAAATAACAGAAAACACATCTAAAGTATCTGAACCAAATAGTGTTTCTTTATTGTCACATAGCGTTTATTTATTGTCACATAACAAGAAGTTCAGAGATAAGTAGCCCAGGGTTCATGGAATTGCTCAGTGCTATAGGGGATCTGGGCTCTTCCCATATTTCCATTCTCCATCTCTAGCTTGTTGACTCCCTTTGTCTGCATGTTTGTTCTTCATTATGACAAAATGTCTGCTGAGTCACTCAGCCTCACGTCTGCATTCCAGGCATAAAGAGGAAGAAGGAAAAAAGAGAGAATTTCCCCCCCCAAATCACCAGCTGACTTCTACTAAAATCTCAATGGTTTACATTTTATATGGTCATCCCAGCTGCAAGGAAAGGATGTATTTGAATTTTTAGCTATCTAGTCTCTGTAATAGAAGGACACAAATAAGAAGATGTTGATAATAAGACAATAAGATAATAACACAAATAAGAAGATGTTGAAGGTGTTTAGTAAGCCATTGTACAATACCTCTAAACATATCATCATTTTAGGTCAAGTTTGAGGTTGGACAATGTACATCAAGAAAACCAATATAACAGAGTCTGAAAACATAGAATCTGGCTGTAGGCAATCTGGGGCTGGTATGGAGGCTTCATGATCATCGAGAGCGCAGATTACTTCCATTTTTTTCCCCTTCATCTTCAGTGTTAGCTACTATCATCATTGTGGGCTCATAATCCAAACTGGGTGCTGGACTTCCAGACACCACAGTTTCATTCCAGAAAGCAGGTAGGTTGAAGAGGGAGAGCAGAATAGCATATCTTATTCAATTGCCCTTATTCTGAGGAGTCTTCCAATCAATATCTCCCATTATATCTCATTGACCAGCAATAGAGAGAAGAAAAGGTGAAAAATGTTGCTTTTACTGAATAAAAACTGGGCTGTCTCAGTATGAAGAAGAAAGTAGATATTGGGTAGGCAATATGTAGCCTCTGCCTCATAGGGTAAATAAGTTTCTTCTTGAGTGGCAATTTGGTTTATTTGTAGTGATTTCCTAGAACATTGTTAAAAAGATTCTGAGGCAGTGCCCTAGGTTCAGTATGTAGAGTGCCATGGTTGGGTATGGGTCTAGATCATGGGCATGAGAGTGGGGGGCAGGTAATGACAGTTTTACATGTGCTTTGAATTTGCTGTTCCTGAATCAGAATAGTTCAGCTAGTGAACATAGGGGATTAAGAAAATACAAAGCAAAATGCATGCCCTTATGTCCTCTTCTTTCCCTTTGTAGCCCCTGTGCATAACATCTGGTGCCATCTGTGCAACAACTGGTTGTGGAATGGGCTCCTCTTTCCTTGGAAAGAGAGAGAAACTCATCTGATGGTGGCAGTGGTGACTGTGGGAAGATGTATTCCTTTGCTAAGGTGGCCATAACAAAGTACCACAGGTTGCTTAGTAGAAGAAACTTATTTGTCTCATGGAGGGTAGAAGTCCAAGATCAAGGTGTCCACGGGCCTGGCTCTGACTGAGGGCTGTGAGGGAAGGATGTCTTTCAGGCCCCTCTCCATGGCTTGTAGATGCCCATTTTCTCCCTCTGTGCCTATGTCCAAATCTTCCTCTTCTTATAAGAACCCTGGTCATATTGGAGTAGGGCTCATCCCAGTGACCCCCTTTTAACTTAATTACCTATTTAAAGTCCCTATCTCTAAATACATGCACATTCTGAGGTGCTAGGGTTAAGAATTAAACATGTAAATTATGGGCTGAAGGAGAGAAAGGGTTGTTCTAGAGGATGGTTTTCCTCTTTGATTGAACCCTGTTCTGTCTGACACTTTGCCCTGCAAAATAGGGATGTCTGCCTGTGTGCCTGCAGGGAATGCGATAGGTGTCAATTGAGGGAGGGTGGTACTCAATGCACAACAATCTCCTTAGCAGCTGAAGTTGTGGCTGTAGCTTTTCTATCTCTCATTAGTACTATTTATCTATTTATTTTTTAAAGAGCAGACTTTGCCCTACTAATCATGGAAATATATAAGTACATGACTCATGACTCAGGCTGGGTCAGTTATAATGTGCCATTCCCCTGTCCTCAGAGATTGATCCATGGATCATGAAGCTCAGGCTAAGCCCGTCCCTGGAAATTTTCAACAACATCTGGAAGTGAGAACTTCCTTTAGGATTATTAAACTAGGAGGTTGTAAGCCCAGAGCAGCCTGTGCTGTGTCCCTTGCATGTGGATAAATTCTATCGGCAAAAAAAAGAGAAAAAAATGAATGAAGCCAAAATGCAGACAGAAGCAGAGACAAATTGTAGAGACAGAGGTCCTAGAGCATCTGAGTTCCTGAATTGTAAGCATCCCTAAGACTAGCTCCAGTCTCACTCCTTCCATATCTATAAAAGCCACTACATCTACTAGATTAGGTTGGTGGAGTTGGACATCTGTCACCAGCAATCAAAAGAATCCAGATAATTCCCCAATACATGAAATACGAATACTTTCAGTGACCTTTCTATCTAATTGACGGGATAACTAATCACAAACATAAAAATTTCTAAGTTTGTTTCTTGGGGACACTTTCCAATTTATTTTTAAAGTATATTTTGTTGATTATGCTATTACAGTTGTCCTATCTCCCCTTTATTCCTCTCCACCCTGCACTTCCCCTCCCACCATCATCCCTTTGCCCCACTTAGTTCATGTCCATGGGTCACACATATAAGCTCTTTGGCTACTCCGTTTCCTATTCTATTCTTAACCTCCATCTGCCTGTTTTGTACCTACCAATTATGCTTCTTATTTCCTGTACCTTCCCCCTGTTCTCCTCCCCCTACACACTGATAACCCTCCATTTTGTCTCCATTTCTGTGATTCTGTTTCTGTTCTAGTTGTTTGCTTAGTTTTTTTTTTACTTGTTGGTAGTTGTGAGTTTGTTGACATTTTACTGTTCATAGTTTTGATCTTCTTCTTTTTCTTAGATAAGTCCCATTAACATTTCATATAATAATGGCTTGGTGGTGAGGAGCTCCTTCAACTTGACCTTTTCTGGGAAGCACTTTATCTGCCCTTCCATTCTAAATGATAGCTTTGCTGGATAGAGTAATCTTGGATGTAGGTCCTTGCCTTTTATGACTTCAAATGCTTCTTTTCAGCCCCTTCTTGCCTGCAAGGTTTCTTTTGAGAAGTGAGCTGATAGTATTATTGGAACTCCTTTGAAGGTAACTGTCTTCTTTCCTCTTGCTGCTTTTTTTTTTAAGATTTTATTTATTTATTTTTAGAGAGGGAAGGGAGGGAGAGAGAGAGAGAGAGAGAGAGAGAGAGAGAGAGAGAGAGAGAGAGAGAGAGAGAGAGAAACGTCAATGTGTGGTTGCTGGGGGTTATGGCCTGCAACCCAGGCATGTACCCTGGCTGGGAATCGAACCTGGGACACTTTGGTTCCCAGCCCACACTCAATCCACTGAGCTATGCCAGCCAGGTCTTGCTGCTTTTTAAGATTTTTCTCCTTATCTTTCATCTTGGGTGATGTAATTATGATGTGCCTTGGTGTGTGCTTCCTTGGGTCCAGCTTCTTTGGGACTCTCTAGGCTTCCTGGACTTCCTAGAAGTCTATTTCCTTCACCAGATTGGGGGAGTTCTCTACTATTTTTTCAAATAAGTCTTCAATTTCTTGCTCTCCTCCTTCTCCTTCTGGCACCCCTATGGTTTGGATGTTGGAACATTTAAAGTTGTTCTGGAGGTTCTTAAGACCCTCCTTATTTTTTTTTAATTCTTTTTTCTTCATTCCGTTGTGGTTGAATGTTTATTTCTTCCTTCTATTCCAAATTGTTGCTTTGAGTCCTGGTTTCCTTTCCTTCACTGTTGGTTCACTGTATATTTTTATTTATTTCACTTTGCATAGGCTTCACTTTTCATAGTCTTCACTTTTTCCTCTATTTTGTGACCACACTCAACCATTTCTGTGAGCATCCTGATTACTAGTGTTTTGAACTCTGCATCTAGTAGGTTGACTCTCTCTTCATTGCTTAGTTGTTTTTCTGTAGCTTTGATATGTTCTTTTATTTGGGCCACATTTCTTTGTCTTGCCATGCCTGTTATGTTGTAAGGGGCAGAGCCTTAGCTCTTCACCAAGGTCGGGAACCCACATGGTTGCTGTATGTGGGGAAGGGGTCTGAGAGGGAATGGTGCCAATTGCTTGGCCTTAGGCTTCCCTTCAGTCACTTCCCTGCTACCCACAAGCAAATTGGGCCCTTCTGGTGCTGATTCCTTGGTGGGTGGTTTTGTTATGTTCTAGGACCCTATGTGTCTCTCCGACAAACTCTCCTGTGAAACTGGAAGTTTCTCCCACCACCTCAGCCCCCACAGGTTTTTACCACCAGAGGTTTTGATGCTTTATTTCCCAATGCTGGAATTTTTGCTTGTGTGGTCTGTCTCACTCCCCAGTTTTTCCTGCCAGTTTATCCACACACAAATGTGGGAAAGCCTGCTTCACCAGCCACTGCCTTGTTGCATGTCCTCCCCACC